TAAATTTATACTAATAAGTATACCAGAAAATAGAGCATAATGTATGTGATCAATATTAAATGTGCAAAGTAAAATCATTTATAGAATCCATGTATCTCACTGAATAGTAAGTCCAGCCCCCTGGCTTCTGTTCAGCTGCAAACTCCTCTGAATTGCCTACATCTGTTTCTCTAAAAAAGTCTATTGGTGCCTCTTTTGATGTCCCTGAGCCTCCACGTGTGTCCTGTCACTCTTATACTGGAGTCACCTACTACTGACTTTTATCATTGTGCTCAATACAAGTAAAAAAACAAACAAACAAAACTCCCTCCCTCCCCCAAATCAATGGGAAGCGAAGTGGATCAGGTCTGTTTTATGAAGGATGGTGTCTTTTTCTCTTGTTTTCATCTTCTTTTTCTGAGTTGAATGTAGATTTTCCATTTCTACTGAATTTCTTTCCTGAATTACAGCTCAAACGCCTCTCTGAAAATTCAATTCCTCCAAACCCATAGTCTATTTTGTCGATTTTGTATTACTTTCCATTGAAGTTAATCTATACACTTGTTGTATAAAGTATATATTGAATTAAAAGCTACAATCAGAAAGAGACGTAGCAACACATCTTAATGTTACATAAATAAGTACTGCCAATGTTGTTTCTGTTATTTTTCAGAGAGCGGCACATGACTACAGAACACAGCGGACATGCTCAGAAGTGGCTCCTCTACCCAGTGGCTCTGTCCCCTCAGAAGGGTGCAGCCATGGCCGTCACCTCAGCCCCTTCTCTGGGCAGCTGAGCGCTGCTTCTGCTCAGGGTGGTTCCGTCTGATAAAGACTCCGATTTAATCATTAAATTAGAAAGCACGGCTGTTCACTGCAGATGCACACCTATCTATCTACCAAACTTGAATAATTAGAATGAAATATTCTTTAGTAATAAAGACAAGGTTTTGTGTGGTTTTTTAAAATTTGTAACTGACATATAATAGTCGTACATTATTTATGAGGTACAGTGTGATAATGATGTATTTACACAATTTGTAGTGATCAAATCAGGGTAATTAGCATTTCCATCTACTTGAACATTATCATTTCTTTATGTGGGGCTTTGGTTATTCAAGTTTCTTAGTTTTTTTTTTTTTTAAATAGAGAAAAAAAGGAAAGAAGCTACTTTTTCCTTTCTGACAAACAAGTAACCTTTCCTTAAATTCTTGGGTCAAGCTATAGATTTCTAAATTCTTTTTACCTTTATTTCTTCTGCTTTATTCCCTGTCTAGTCACTGAACAAACTTTGCCATTAATTCAGTTTTTCTTGACAAGTTTTAAAAAAATTTATGTACTTTCTCATTATCTGTTACCTTATTAAAGGGTCAGCATTTGCTAAACATGATATTTTGACAACCAGATTTTTTTCTGGCGTATATTCAGTAATTTCTTTTGTAGTTCTTATATTTTCTGATTAATTATGTAGCTTTAGGTGGTGTACAGGTTGAATAATCTAATTTTCCTTTTTTGTTATTGAAATTTCCACTGCAACATGTGATATGTGCAAAATTTAAATCTATTGTCAAATCAGAGGAGCAAGTTTCCTTCTATGATTTATATGAAGATAACAGTAGTTAAGAGCTGTGAAGCTGTCTTTAAAAGTTATACTATATTCTTTTTCTAGCATTGAATCAAGGGTTAAAAAATTATTTTTATAGGTTAACTTTATCAAATGGGCAAACATGTTTACCTATGTTCATTTTCATATGGCCTCTAGGAATTGGTAGGAAATACCAGGTCCAAAATAAGTAGGTTTGAGTAGACAAATTAGCAGAATTAGGCTCTGTGAACTGTAATGAAGTGAGAGACCCTCTTGTTCATCCCAAGCCTTGAGTGTTGATGGACTGATCCAAGCAGGCGCCAGCTCTGCGTCTCTGTAAGGAAGCTAGAATTTGGCTTCTGAGGAGAGTTGTTGGAAAGTGGGCCAAGGCTGCTGTCAGGAAATATTACGTGAAGGGGTTTAGGGAATAGTAACTTGGAGATGGAGTCTCTAAAAAAAGAAGTGTGAGTACTAAAGGGAGAAAAGGAAAGGGTGGGCAGAAGGTAATGGGGCCGCAGTTTGGGTAGAGCTGGGCCTCTTACTGACCAGTCTGGGAGACTGTGGAGACACTCGAAGTCCCCAGGTTCCACATGGGGAGAGAGGTGTGTGTGAAAGGTGTTGAAGAAAATACTGCTGTTCAATGTTTAACTGGTTGCAAACATTCCAGCATTTAACTTGTTTTCTGCTGCTATTTTTCAGGCCTATAGTAACCGTTTAAAACCCACAAAAGTTCCAATTAACATTTTATTCCATGTTATAGCCCCCATCTCATTGCTCTGTTCCCATAAAGCGGCAAAACCATAGACAGATTTTTTTTTTCCCTCACAGAAACATTCCTTGGGAGCATTTTTAAAGATTGTGTTGAGTGCCAGGGTGACTATGAGTTATGTAAACATAAATTAACTCAGAAAACAAATTCAAATCATGTTTTTGAAATGGGGTATTCAAAGTGTCTAGGGCTGTATCAAGTAATTTGCATTTAATTAAAAGTAAAAAAGCATCCTATGTGGAAAATCTGACTAAAATAAAATTCTGAGATCACTAGAGCTAACCCAGTGGCAATTTATTTAAAAACATGAAAAATTCGACAGTGTTACATTTTGGTCCTAAGGGTAAGTAATTTTCATTTTCCCTCACACATATGCAGGTAAATGAAGATATGAGTCAAGGGAAAAGAAAATAATTTTGCCTTAGCCATGCATAAAATTGTGAGTTTCTGACAATTGATAGTTTCTTCATAACTTTGGCTGTATCGTCAAATACACAGAGAAAAACTGCTCTTTGATGCTTTTATTTTCAGAGTATATGAAGTAATTTACTGATACATGAGTATCAGCTGAGTTAGACTATTTTCTTGTCAGCCCAACGATATTAACTGTAAACAATTAGTTTTAGTTTTTGATCAGGTAGAACTCAACATCTGCTCCCTTTATGATTTTAAGAGAAATATGGAACGACATTATGTCTAAAGTAATTATCAGCAGTTTCTTAGGCTCAATATCAGTAGTATTTGCTTAATATGGGACAAGTCACTGAAGTGGAAGACAACATTCATTGGAATCATCAATAATAAAATTTTGTGATTAGCATGTATTCTTTTTTTTGGGGGGGGTACTGGGGATTGAACTCAGGACCTTGAGCTTGTGAAGCGTGGCACCACTCAGTTAAATCTCCAGCCCGATTAGCATGTATTCTTTTTTTCCCTTAAATTCTTTCATTGGTACATTTTAGGTATGCAATGAATTTACATTTATCATGGGTGCTTGTACCTGTACATGATGTATCTTGGTTCTTATTTTTTCCCCATTACCTGTGTGCCCTTTACCCGCTCCACCCTTCCCTATTTACATAGACTTCATTTCCATTTTTTTTCTTTTCTCACAATTTTTCCTTTCCCCTTCCCCTCCCACCACCCCTACCCCTTTGGACCTTTTCTTCCTATTTCAAATTATCAGTTATTCGTTTTAATCATCTTAATCCTTATTTACTCTTTCAGTTTCTTACACTAGAGAAACTATTCGGTATTTACACGTGTGTCCTATTTATTTCACTTAAATGTATGGCCTCAATATGCATCCATTTAGCTATAAATGTCTCTAGTTTCTCATTATTTATGGCTGAGTAGTACTCCATTTTATAAAAAACCCCCACATCTTCTTTATCCAGTTTCCAGTTGATGGGCACTTGGGCTGTTTCCAAACTTTAGCTATTACAAACTGTGCTGCTATAAACATGGGTGCACATATATTCAAGATGAGTTTTCATGCAGTCAAGAGATGAACAAAGCATCCTGGGAAAAATACAGTGACCCCCTCAAGTTGCAACAGGCTTAACATAACAACAACTTGGGTTAATTAGGTTAATGGAAGATTCATCTGCCTCTTGGTATCTATAGTATGTACCCAGGTAAACATCCAAATCTCAGCTGTATTGACTTACAACCAACTTGAGTTACAACCAGCCCTCGGGAACAAATTGAGTTTGTAAGTCAAGGGTCCACTGTATTGCTAACTTCAGGTTTGTTTTCCAAAATAAGAACTCATCACCTAATAACATCTCACCTAAACGAACTATTTGATTATTCCAGTCCAAATATACTGTTCCTATCAAGCCCTGAACGTTCGCTTCTACACCTTTACATTTCCTTGTAATAGTATTTTTCTCCTATATTTTTATTGTGGTGAAGTGCAACGACATAAAATCAACACCTCAACCATTTAAAATGTACAGCTTAGTGATATTAAGTGTGCCACTATCACCGTCATCCACGCCATATATTTTTCCTGTCTTTCAAAACTCAAACACTGTACTCATGAAGCAGTAATTTCTCATTCCCCAGTCATCCGTTTTACAAAGTATACATAAATTTCCATTAGTCTTGTCACTCCAGTTACATTGAAAGGCCCCTGGAGGGAGCGCTCACAACATACGCGAAGGGTATTTATTGTCAGGAATTTTTCTAAGTGCTTTGCAAATATTCACTCACAACATTATTCATCTTCGTGCCACAGGGTCTAGCATGTGCTTCGCTCGTGGGAGATACAAAGTATTTGTGGAATGGATTTCGGTACCACTTAAACGTTTTTCAGTGACGCTGGCAGTTAGTTATTCTGGTGGTAAATTACCAAAGAAGAGTTACGTTGGGAAAACGCCTTCAGGCAAAATATGACCCAAGCGCGTAAATGTAAAGAAATCCTTTACGTTAGCCACATGTAGATCAAGGTATTAACAAAGCAAGGTAAGAAGGAAGTTACAGCTAGATAGAGTATACAGGAAGCGACAACACAGCTCAGGTTTTCCCTTCTCTGGGATCCCACTCAACTCCAGAACTCAGGGCGAGTAAAGACCCGCGGGAGGGCACCGAGGGGCGGGGAGGGGCGGAGCTTGGGAGTGGGCGTGGATTCGAGGGCGGGGCCCGACGGCGGCCGGGGCGGGGCGCGCGACTGCAGCGGGTGGTTATGGCGGCCGACGGCGACTGGCAGGATTTCTATGAGTTCCAGGAGCCGGCCGGGAGCCTCCCGGACCAGGAGAACTGTAACGCGAGCCCCGAGGCGGGGGCGGGGGCCGGAGGCGAAGCAGGGGCAGGGGCGGGCGGGGGCGGCGACAGCTTCCCGGCGCTGGCTTGCAGCCTGGAGGAGAAGCTGAGCCTGTGCTTCCGCCCCGCCGTGCCGGGCGCCGAGCCCCCGCGGGCGGCCGTGCGGCCCATCACGGAGCGCAGCCTGCTGCAAGGGGACGAGTGAGTGCGGGCCTGGCGGGCAGGCGGGTGGGGCCGGCGGGAGCCTCCCTTCCCCAGGCTGGGCGGCCCGAGGGCCCGGCGCAGGCGCCTCCCCGCCTCCTTCCTTCCGCCTCCTCCCGCGCTCGGCGATTTAAAACCCCTGGCGCCCCGGCCGCGCCCCCGGCCGCGCCCTCAGTCCTTGGACAGGGGCTTGCCGGCCGTGAATCTCGCGAACGGAGCTCGTAGTTGCAGACTGCACCACCGGGGTGGGTGGGGGTGGGGGAATGATGGTGATTCATGCAACCACCTTGCAGTGAAGGACTGGACCTTGCCGCTCCAGTAGGGCACCACGTAGGATGGGACCTAGATTTGCAAAGGGATATTTGTAGGGGTGTGATAAGTGCTTTAACAGATACGGGAGATTTGAAAGAGGATCGCTAGCGGAGAGGTAGGGAAGATTTCATAGAAAAAGTTATCTGCAAATTGAATCCTGGTAGATGAGTAGGAAGTTTGTCTGGCAGGCGAAGAAAGGTCGAGCGTTTTAGGTCGGGGATGTAGCATGTGTAAAGGGAGCAACTTGTGAGGCAGCGGTCAGGCCACAGGAATTTGCCCCACTTGCCCACCCAGGTGGAGTGCGTGCCACCACAAAGACAAAAACCGAGGGCTCTAATTGTTAATGGCAGGGGTCTCAGGGCGGTGGGAAGATCAGTACCGATTACAGATTCACATAAGTGATCGATTTCAGCGATTGGAAAGTCACAGGATTTATGAGAGCTGGAGGAGGAAAGGGGGAGAGTATTTCAGAGACCACTTATTTAACCACCCTGAGCCCCAGTTACAATTTGATTAAATAAAGGTAATTATATACCACGGTTTTACCCCCAAAGATAAAAGAAATGGTTCGAAGGAGCTTGAGCGTACTGTATTTGTGGGAGGAGAGGCTGAAAGTAAAATGCGTGGTGTACATGAGGAGGACCAGGGTGGGATGGGATGTCAGAGTATTAGTGGGAAGGAGCCATGAGGATAGAAAGGAGCTTCCACCATGAATCAGAAGGTTCATCAGGAAGAAGGAAGAAGGCAGGAAGCATGGGATGAGGGAGTTGGGGATGAGGGTCTGTAGATGTGACTGAGAAGCTACCCTGGGAGATGATCTCTTCCTACCGCTTTCTCTCTGTGTGCCCTGCCCAGGTGCCAGGTGTAGAGGAGGGGGACATTTGTGATTGGATTTGTTTTTTTTGGTACCGGGGATCGAACTGGGGTCCTTGCGCTTGCGCAGCAGGCGGCAAAACCACTGAGCTAAATCCCTGGCCCGTGATAGGATTTTATATAGTAAAAGGTGACATTTTTGAAATGACCCAAAGAATTTCATATATATGTAGATTTATACTCAGATATATGTAATTTATATATTTCATATATATGTATGTTTATATACCCTGAGTCACTAAGATTTAGGACACATTCTGGATTTAATCGTTATATTTGAAGAGTAATTAGATGAGTGGCTTGTGCATATAGCTAAGGATCCCTATTTTTGTTTTGCCTGGACTCTTGGAAAGTAATTTAGCCTTTGCTTAAAACTTAGGTTGTTGTAAAATTTAAAATACTAGTCTTGATAATGATTTTTAGTGGATCATGGGTTGGTGGAAATGCATGTCTCTTGATTTTGAGTGTATAAGAAGTCTCTCCCAAGAACTGGGCTTCATAACCACTGTCTTTTTCTCCTCTGTATTGCATACATTTGCACACCTGCCCAATAGAGTCCGTTCTGACTCTTTTCACTAGTGAGAATTCTTGACACTTCTTTTACTTAGACACGTGCCTTGCCAGAGAGCACTATATTTAACTTCTCTGAGCCCCATTTATAGTTTTAAGTACAGAAAGAATGTATTTATCTACTGAGGTATTGTGCACATTCAACACTGGCAGGACTTTGACCTCCTTGGAAAAGAGCTGCCCTTCCAGTTCTTTATGACTGATTGTAATACTTCATAATAAGGATGAAGGCAGTTCATGCTAGAAAATTCTAGAAATCTTCCACTAAACTTGGCACTGTGTCCTTACAACCACAGTTGTTCTGCCTTGGTGGCAATGGACGATTGTCGGTTACTCTTTGCTTTCTTAGAAGGTCAAGCTCACCCACAGTCACTTCTGGATGAAGTATTTTACTCCATTTGTGCTTTCTTATATCCTCATTTAAGAAGGACCCCCCCCCCCCCAATTCTGGACTCACTTACTAGAATATCCTACTCTGGTTCCTGACCAGGGATAGGGATGTAGTTTGCTACTCAGTATTTGAAAATTTATAGCCAGGGCTGGGAATTTAGCTCCATGGTTCCACTGCCTGCCTCAAAACCACAAGGTCCCGAGTTCGATCTCCGGTACCGAAAAAGAAGAAAAAAAAAAGAAAATGAAAATTTGTAGCCAGAAAGATGTGGGCCAGAAGCCCAGCAAATAGCAGTCCAGAGACATTCTGGTTCATTGGCATTTGAGGAGATCAGATTCCAACAGAGAGGAGAGAGTAGGAATGAACCCTGACTTTGGGCAATTTGCTGGATAAAGCACTCAGTTTTCAGAGCTTCTTGGTTTCGTGTTTTCATTGAGATAATGTGTACTCCATGGCTAAATGTCCTTTAGGATGTTAGGCTTTTGGCAGCTGCGATTCTATTGCTACTGCTCTTTAGCAAATCCCTATTTATTAAATCAAGTGTTGTTACTCCATTTTTAAACTTCCATTCTACTAGGAGTGTTTTTGTACCTTAGTCAACTTACATGCTTGGGAAAAAGATCCACCCAGTTATTTAATGACTTACTCATGATTAGATACCTGTTATAAATACTAGGTTTTTAAATTTTTCTGTGATGTCTTTGTGTCTTCTAGCCAGTAAATAGCTCAAATATGTAGAGTTTAACTTTCCCTAATTAAAGTTCATATCATATCATATCTGAACTCTGAACTCTTTCTTGTCTTTTCATAAAATGTCATGCTTTACTGTGCTGATTATGACTTTGGCACCAAACCTGCATTTTGGGTTGAAGTTGGAGTTTGCTGTCCTAGTCTGGTGTGGATTCTCCTCAATTCAGCTCATCTGAATGAGTGCCTACAGTAATGGAGCTGGAAGAAATGCCTGCTTCTTATCGAAGCCTCATTTAGGACAGCTGGTTAAAGAGACAACTGGACAAAGAGGTTAAAGGACTTGTCCAAAGGGTCATGGATTGAGAAAGAGTGGAGATGAAAATTTGTTTCTTGAATCTTAGTCAAATTTCCTTTTCATTTCATCCCATCACATCCCCAAGATGTTGCTTGATAATAAAGTAGGGTAACTGCCTTGGGTATGACCTGTGTGCATTTTATGTGAATTCTCTCCTTCTCCTTTCATTAGTCTTACTACTTAGCTCGTAATATTACAAATTAGATATTAAATCCTGATCTCACATTGAGATTGACTCCTTTCCCTCGAAAAGATAGCAAGTTTTGGTTAGAGATGAATCGCCTTATGAAATGTTTCATGTGTTTGGAAGTTACAGAAGAAAAATAATTGTGGTAAACAGTGTGTTTAGTACCTGTCTGGCCGAGGAAACATTACCTATCTTCCCTGTACTTTAATCACTTTATCTGTAAAATGGGAAGAATAATGGTTCCTATTGGTAACGTTTTTGACGACTAAATGAATATATGTAAACTGTTTGAAATGGTGCCCAGCACATAGTATGATGGAAGTGTTAGCAACTGACTGGGAGAGTTTTCTATACCCCTTCACTTTCCATCAGTAATTCTTTTTTTGCTTTTTTTTGGTACTGGGGATCAAACTTGGGACCTTGCGCTTTCAAGGCAGGTGCCAGAACCACTGAGCTAAATCCCTGGCCTCCATCAGTACTTCTTGTCAGCCCACTTATATGATTTTCACTTAGTCTTATTAGGAGACTGTACTTTGTTGCAACACTGAATGTCCTTCTTTTGTTGTAATACTGGATATTTGTTTAACAAAAGACATAGAATATGAACTTTCACAGATTATCATTTTCTTCTTTTTAAGGATCTGGAATGCCCTGACAGATAATTTTGGAAATGTCATGCCAGTAGACTGGAAGTCATCCCATACTAGGACTTTACATTTGCTTACTCTGAACCTCTCAGAAAAAGGGGTAAGTTGAACCAGTACTTTCTGCATGACTGGTGTTGATGGTGGAAATGGAACAGTAGCATTTTCATTGAGTTGCCGTGTATTTCCCTCTCTCAGCCATCTTGGCTGCCCTGCTGTCACTTTGCTAGTATGGCCCTCCGATTCTTTCCCAGCACACGTCCACCTCTGTATGTTTATCTGTTTCCATTGCCAGGGAAAATGTGGGCACCAAGGATCACCATTTCTTTCTGTTTACGTAACATAACATTGGTGTGCTGAGAACTCTCACTGTGAGTCCAGTGTATTGAGGATACTGGGATATCAACAGAGTTCACTTACTGGTGAATTTAGCGACTTGCTGGATGTGACCTGTTGTCCAAAAACCATCTATTTTGGTGAATATTGAGGAACCATTAAAAGACATTTCAGGGGCCGGGATTTAGGCTCAGTGGCATTGTGCCTGCCTTGAAAGCGCAAGGTCCTCAGTTCACTCCCTGGTACAAAAAAAGAAAAAAAAAAATTCAATTTTTGGCTTTTTAATGTGTGTGTGGCTGACTTATCCAGCTTGAGGCTCCTGTGTTTATTCAGGTATTGTGAAGTAAAGATACCTGGGTCAAAAAGTGTGAGACAAGAGATAGGATGCCCAGGGGGCCAGAAAAGGGGAGAGAATTGGTTGGAGTGGAAATCATAGTGCTAAATTTGCTGAAAGCTGATGAAAAACATAGTCAAATTATGTAAAATTTAGGGCCAGACTGTTTAAGCTCCTTATCAGATAACAGTGTAAGCTCATGTCATTATCTGGCACGCTGTATAGTTCATTAAGTGTAAGTGTGTGATTATTGAGAGTGTAAGGCAGTATGGCTGTTAGAATTTTAAATAGTATTGTTAATGTTTTGAGAAAATAATTTTCTTAAATATGTGACCCAGAAGAGCCTGCTGCTTTTGGGTTTTAGTGAATTCTGACTCTTTCCCAGTATTACAGTATGTGGAGTCTTACTGTTTGTTCCTATCTTTAATCTCATTAAAGCTTTTCAGATTGACCTGGCACACATTTAGTGGAAAAGAGCAAAACAAAATATGTTACGCTCTTTCTGCTATTTATTTAGGTCCTTGCTGTCATTTTGACTTCATTTAAGTTCCCTTCCCTTTCTGAAGCTTCCTATTACTGTTTTAGCCTTTGCTGATCTCATGGAATTATACAATGTTAGAGTTGGAAGGGACTTTAAAGGACATTTAATCCAGCCTCACTTGGTGGGGGGAGATCCCCACCTACAGCATCCCAGACAGATGGTCCCTTAATCACGGCCTAAATCCTTCCACTCCTCTGAGTGGAAATCGCCAACACTGGTGGGGAGGTGTATGGGTGCTGGTTCCCACAGCCCTTTGTTCGTGCTTCTGTAAAGTCATTACTGTGTTTTTTATGAGTCCCCTTTTTCTGGGTTTGTCATTAGACTGTGACTTCCCAGCAGATATCTTTGTATTTTGTCTGTTGAGTAACTGCCGCAGTACATGGCAGAAGGCGGGTGCTGAGACTCATGCTTGTTGAGCGATGCTGAGTGCGTGATAACTTATGTCATCATTGTGACTGTAAAATCAGAGATCGTGTGGAAGGTCGTCTTTTTTCTTTAGGGTTTCCTATATTATTTAAAATAGAGCTAAACCCATAGTTGTCAGCCCATGAGTGTTTTTTTGTTTGACTTATTAAAAAATAGCATAGAGAAGTTCCTTTTATAGTTTCATAGAGAAGCACTTTAGCAGTACAAATGGGCACTCTAAGACAGTTTCACTGAATAAAATGTGAGTCTTGTATTTTTCTGAGATTGGACCTTGGGAATAGGAGCTGCTGTTTGAATGTTGTGCTCAATGCTGGAGTAATGGTGCTGCCAAGGTAGTGATTAGTAAAGACTTAATTTACTGCTAGTATTGAGGGTAAAAGCTTCACCTGGAATAACTCAACAAATGAAAGCAAACAGATAAATTCATCTGTCTTATCAGTCAATCAATCAGTCAATCATCTGTCTATCATGAAATGACTGGTGATGAACAGAGCTGAAATCAGACTATTCCTCAAGAAGAATTAATGGGCAACAAGGATTATGTAAGAAGCAACCATGTCACTCTTTTGGGTGGTGTGTAGTTTAAAAATACTTTTAACCTGAGAAAGTTACTTTATTTACCATTTTAACTGGGTGTTCTGTTCTTTCCATGACTGAGCTATGTACAGTTTACTTTTTGGAAGCATTCTTTAAATTATTACAGCTGTAAAGTAGGGTCCGGAGGAAATTTTTTCTTGACAATAGATTTATTATTTTTTGCATTAAGATGAGAAAAACCTTGAAAAACCACAGTTTGCTAGAATTCAATGTTTTGTTTTCTTTCATTCACCAGGTTAAGATGCACTTTTCTAAATTTGTGGGTCTTTTCTAGAGTAAGGCAATTAGGACATTCCAGATTCTTGCATGAGTACGTGTTTTCCACCTGATACATCCGCAGTTTCGCGCAGGGAAACAGTACCACGAGCTCTGTATCTAAGCCTGGCATAGGAAGGAGTGATGGGAATGCTTGGCCCGAAGAGAACGCATTTGTGCCTAACGGGAGAGTGAATGATGATCCCCATGACAGCCAGGGTTAGTTTTCAAAGCCTGAGAGGGATTCTGGCTCATGGCGTATGCCGTCTCTCTGGGGGAATGGGCTTGGCTTCCTCTCTGGAAAGATGATCTGGGATCATTATTTCTTTTGTCATGGAAATTTATTCTAATAGTTTACTGGTATTGCTAGTGTATTTTGGACTTACTCTATCTTGTATATGCTTCTACTTCATTTTGCTGGGAAACATCTCCTGTACATCTTCCTCCTTCTGCGCACACCACTTCTAGGAGAGAGACTTTACAGAATGTATCTTTATATCTTTATGTAGGATCAGGAAGAGGATAATGTCTTCTTTAAGTGTTCTTTCAAATTAAAACTTTATTATTTATAAGCCAGAAGGGGAAAAAGACAAAACCGTATTGCGCAAGCTACAACTCTGAAAAGTGGTAGCAGGTGGGTTTGAAGTGTGAGGACCAGTGACCAAAGTTGTTAGGTCCACCTCCAGCCGTCCACTTACCCTTATCACATTATGGCACTTTCTTCAGCTTCGCTGCTGGAAATCCAATATTCCATCATGAAGAGCCTAGTCTCTTTACCTTTCTTATTAAATTATTAAAGAAAAAAACCATCATAATTTTAAAAAGCAGCCTAGAATCATAGGCTTTAGATGAACAGGCAGCCTCTGCCCCACTTACTTTGTCCTTGATTTTTAGTTGCAGCAGGCAGCCACTTAACTGCTTCAGCTGCCGCTTCTAGCAGATCACCTACTTATTTTACTTGCTTTTATCTTTTAATTTTAGACTATCCACTGACCCAAAGCATGAAGATTTAGCTGTCTTACAGTTCTCTAGCTCTTAGCTCTCTAACCTTCCCACAAAAGGTCCCTGTCTTCCCAGTGTAATCATATCAAAATCCTTGGTGAAATTGATCTTCATCATTTCTACTAAATATTCATGGTTAACTCATTTTGGAATATTATTGTTTACTTCTATTACAGTTTCTGTTTTTTTCCTAGGGTAATGATAATTGGCTTTTTTGTGGTTTTTTTAGTTAATAATTAGCTCACCAATTCAGCCTCAAGAGACATGTAATTCATTGTAGTAAATGGAATATATCAGGTTCACTGTCAGTCTCCTCTCCCTTCCCTGTGCCTTTCTTGATGCCTCTTGCATCTGATTCTGGTCTGAACTAGTTACTCTCGAGTTTAGCTTCATAGCCATGATTCTAGGTTTACTTCCTCTGTCATTACAAGAATTGCTTTGACCTCTCTTTCATATTCGAGCCCGAGTCTTCTTGCCTTTCATTTTGCAGCAGGCCAGTGCTCCCTTCCCTTTTCTTCTCATATACAGGTCTCTTATAGTCTGGTTCACCCTTAAACTTCACACGCTCCCGTATCAGGAACTTGGGAGGTGGAAGGGACCTGCGACCACTCCATTGGGTTCTCCATGTTAGATATATCCTTGGTACTAATAAATACAATACATTTCCCAGATAAGAATTTATTACTTTAATTATGTTAAATATAATATTATATTTATATACAGGTTGACTAGCCCTTATTAGAAATACTCTAGAGGTATTTTAAATTCTGAGTCTTTCTGGATTTTGGAATATTTGCATATACATAATGAGATATCTTGAGGATGGCACTCAAGTCTAAACATAGAATTTATGTTTTGTATACACCATGTACGCCTAGCCTGACGGCAATTTATGCAGTATTTTTGGTGCCCCTGTGTTTTGAGTGCAAACTGTCACATGAGGTCAGGTGTGGAATTTTCCACTTGTGTCGTCACATCGATGCTCAAAAAGTTTGAGATTTAAAATTTTCAGATTGTTTGCTTAACCTGTAATATAATATATTATTCTAATTATCTGGTGTGAAATGGAGTGACATGGTTTCTTCTTACATAGTCCTTGTTGCCCATTTGTTCTGCAGAAACTCAGTGTGTATTAATCTTTCCTGAGGAATAGAGTTTTTATTTCAGTTCTGTTCATCACTAGAATAGTCATGTCATGACAGATGGATAGATAGATAGACAGACAGACAGACAGACAGACCATATATCACTTGTCCACTTGAATATGCTAAGTTTTTCCAGGTCAGGCTTTTATAATTAGTACTGGTACTAAATTCTAAGCATTAGGACCGGGCCTGTTATATTGGTGCGGGCAGGGTTAAGGGGAACCAACTAGGCATGGCACAATGCTCCAGGGATAGCAACAGCATGTAGCACTTTAGCAGCCTTGGACATGAATAGGTAGGGAGAGGGAGAAGTTTTTAGAACCTAGAGAGATTAGCTGTGGGGAGAGGTCTGCTTGACAAGATCTGTGGCCTTTGGTAGAGAGCCAGCATCGACAAATGGCAGTCTGGCAGGGAGGAGGACAGCAGAACCAGGGCCTGGCCCTCACCTTCTGACCTTGCGGTCTGCCAGTGCCTGCCAGTGCTGTGTAATCAGCTGGAAGCCAGAAGTCAAGGGTGCTCTTTGATGTGGTCCATAGGGTCAGTCTCCTGGGCACGGAGCGTGGAGAGAATGTGGATAGGTGGCTGGAGATAGTCCAACACAGCTAGGTTTGGAGATGTTTTTAGAATCTAGAGATACTCTTCTTTGGGAAGAAGAGATGTTCCACTGGAAGGGCCAAGTGAGACCCTCCTGCCTGGATAGATCCTGTCTGCCAGGATGTTAATTGCTTTCCTGTTACTGCGAATGTTAGAAGTTAGTTTGCCAGTAACTCAATTTGTTTTCTGCATACTTTTAAACACCAGTCTTGCTTAACTAACATTGCTAAGTCTGCCCATTTTCTCCCTTCTCTTTGCTCTAATTCCTATGTTTTTTCCTGAATTCTGTCTTTTTTCTCAATAACATGTCAGCTTTTGTAAAGTGTTCTTATAGCGATTTCTTCTGGAAAAAAAAAATAGCTGAGTGTATGTCTATATCAGGCCATAGGGATGTAAACATACCGTAGTACTTTTGTATTTGTTCCACCCCGTTCTTTCTGCTTGGGATGTATATGTAAAGGACTACACACTTGGCCCAGAGTGACCCAACAACTTCTCCCTTTCAAGGAAGAACTCTCCACACATGCTTTCCACTGCCTTCACTTTTACCCAGAGATACTGACTTTGTTTTGATCAGAGTGTCCTTTTAACTGTGGGTATTTTTGCTTTTAGATAAGTGATCGTTTGCTCTTTGACACATCAGATGACGAGGAGCTGAGAGAACAGTTGGATATGCATTCAATCATTGTCTCCTGTGTTAATGAGGAGCCTCTCTTCACGGCAGACCAGGTATCAAGATGATGCTCGTCAGCGCAAAGAGAGCAGCATGTACAGCTGAAAAGCATTGCTTATTGATATGTCAGAATTTACTTCTTTTGCTTCACTTGTGTGGATATATAGGCTTATCATTTAACTCTTCCACTGAGGAAGAAAAGAAAGTATATGTTGCCTGGAGGTAAAGTTTTGTTAATTGGGAAGATCTCTAATCTAGGTGTTACTAAGAGTACATGTTACTAAGGGAGGCTTGTTTCTTAACCCAAAATCACAAAAATATTGTGAATTTCCTACTTTCTTTAGATTTATCCAAACATGGGCAAAGTATAATACATCAGTATAGAAATCTATCTGTATTTACTTTATTTCATACTCTGGGTAAGAAACACTAGCATATATTTGATGTCCCTGTTATGTGCTCCAGAAAGAAGTGAGCATTATTCTTGTGGAATGCTCTAATAATGTCAACCCTGTGTTCACTGGAAAGCGGTTGAATCAGCTGTCTCATTTTCTGAGGACTCCTCCTACCTCTGTTGTAGTGTCAAAATGTGAGGCCAGAACTTCGTCCCAAAATAAAATGTTCCTAGTTACTGGGTCTGTGAATTCTGCCACCCTCTATTTTTAGGCTAGCAAGATGAGGTCAGTAAGTGATGCGTTATGGCAGGGTTGGGAGGAGGACATTAAAAATGCACATTAATGTATGTCATTTTGATGCTCTTTGTCATATTTTTGGTTGGATTATTTTTGGCTGGGAAAGAGTATGGTGCTTAAAAAAGCAAAGTAGTAGTGGGTTAGAGAGCTGTTGTGGGGTAGAACATGATTCCAAAGATGTGGCCGTAGGCATTCATGATCGAGCCCTGGGAATCCGCCTGAAATTTTTTTCTAGTTAGCATAATCCCACTGCCTTCAGATACAGTTTTGTTTTCCCTCAGTAGAAGTGCTGCCTCTTAAGCTTGCATATTCACAAAGTGTGTTAATATGATATGTACACTTTCGTTTAATTGTATTTTCTTTAATAGTTTTTTCTTAATGTGTAATACCTTTTTTCAAAATATTGAGTACCTTTTTCTGGCTTTCCTTTAAAGTTTTGTTGAGTTCCATTTTCTTTTTTCCACTTTTAGAATCTGAAACAGGTCGAGATGCAGTTGTAAAGTTTGAGCCACAGTGTTTATGACAGTAGATTGTTGCTTAAAAGGCAGATGTATTTCTGAAATTTTCCTGCTTCTTGCAGGTTTCTTTCTTCTTTCTTGTTCTGTACTTTAAGTACTTTTAAAATGTCCCTTTGTCTTTGAATTACTATATGAAATTCTTTTTCTGCTGTTAGAGGAAAATTTTGCTGTCAGTGAGGTAGTCTCTTGGTCTATGTATATGTTTTTATACTGTTGTATTTTCCAAGTTGTATGTAAGATCTTTGATTAAGTAGCTTTAGATTAAGCGCATGCACATGGTATACTTTTAAATTTTCTTCTGTTTGCCTTCTTTTGACTGTAAATTCATAATCTGGTCCTGTCATGTCTGGAAAAAATTATCTAAGTGTTTGTAGCACCATTTCTCAGACATCACAATATCTAGTGGGGCCTACTGGGTCATGGTAGACACATTAAAGTGTATTGTGCTTAATTTTGTTTTTAGTGTGTGGCACATTTTCTATGATAAAAACCATGTTTACTCTTAAAAATCAAAATTTTGGTTATTCAGAACATTCACTCCTGCACACAGTTGGTTAGTGAGATTTCAGTGCACTTCTACCCTGGGCACCTCAGGTGAGCACCGTGTTATGGACAAGTCATTTTCCCCTCTGTATTTGATTAATACTTCTGTGTGTATTTCGGAAGGTTATTGAAGAAATTGAAGAGATGATGCAGGAATCACCAGACCCAGAAGATGATGAAACCCCTACACAGTCAGATCGGCTCTCAATGCTGTCCCAGGAGATTCAAACTCTTAAGAGGTCCAGTATGAGCAGCTATGAAGAGAGTAAGTGCTCTTTGTGCTTTTTGTCCATTTCAGACATGTGATGCAATCATCTTCAGAAAGCTTCTCAGAGGCTGGGTTGTATACCCTTCGCTGGCCATCTCATACTGCAGTGCTCTGGACTTGAGGACTGTGTTGTGTTTAACTCTGTCTTTGTTTGCTGGGGCCTGTGCAACAAAGTACTGCACATTGAGTGGCTTAAATAGTTGACATCCATTTCCTCCAAGTTCTGTGGGCCCAAAGCCCATGATTAAGCCATCAGCAGGCTTGATTTCTTCTGTGGCCTCTCCCCTTGGCTTGTAGATGGCCATCTTTTCCCTTTGTCTTCACATGGTCTTCCTTCTACGTGTGTCTTTCTCCAAATTTCCTCTTCTTATAGGAACACCAGTCGTCTTGCATTAGGTGCCAGCCTAATATCCTGTTTTAAATTAATTCCCTTTCTAAGCATCCTGTCTCCAAATAGCATTCCATTCTGAGGTACAGTCATACCTTGGTACTTGACTGCTGTGAAACTCATTGAATTTGGTACTTGACTCATCGTTACATACAAATTTTGTCCTGGTACATGTTGTTTGGTTGGTAACAATTGTTAAAGTTAGAACTTGTCAGCATCTGTTGCCTCATGGCCCGCTCCCCTTTCCAGCCAAAACAATTTGTTTGGTGCTTGTTTTTGGTATATTCATGCCTCCCAGTACCAATTAACTATGAGTGCTGAGGTACCACTGTGCTGGGAGTTAGGGCTTCAACATAGGCATTTTTGGGGAGATTTAGTTTAGCCTATAACAAAACAATCAGTAATCAATAATTCCTTCTTTACAAATAGTTGTCTTTAGTGTAGAGATGAAGAATTTTGAGAATCAAAATTGTGCTTGAATTGGATCTGTTTGACATACGAAAGAATCATGACTTGTAAAAACCATGTACTTGATTACTGTGAAAAGTTTCCAAATAACTACAACCAGTGTGTGAATATTCTGAGGCTGGTGCGCAGGCATGCATCTAATCTTTGCCATATGACTGGTTCCCTCTTTGAATGGACAGCAAAGGAGTCTCTATCTCCTAACTCACATTGTCACCTGGTTTTACATTATGGGATGACCCATATGGGATGCCTTCTGGTTGTGTGGCTTCCTTTTAACATATGGAAACTCTTTCTGATGGTCTTTTTGTACCATGCTGCTGTAGATACATACTTAGCATTGTTAGAGTCTTGTTTCCAAAAGATCATCCTGATAATCTGTTAGGATATCAAACTCCATATTAGTTTTCTAAGGCTGCCATAACAAGTACCACAGACCGAGTGGCATACACCATGGAAATTTATATTCTCACAGTTCTGAGGCCAGAAGTCTGAGATGAAGGTGCTGTCTGTCATATGTGGTTTCTGGCAAGGCCTCTCTTTGGCTTTGGACGGCTCTCTTCTCTCTCTGTTTTCCCATGATCTTCCTGTGTGTGTCCTCTGTTTTGGTCTCTTGATTTTATAAGGACAACAGTCACACCAGATTAGAACCCACCCTAATGTCCTCATTTTAACGTAATTACCACTATAAACATTCTTAACTTCGAGTCATATAGTCACATTGGAGGTACTGGGGATTAGGTCTTCAACAGTGTCCTGTCTCTCACATGAGGGAAAGTGGGCCGGGAGGGAATATTGTTCCTTTTCATCTTCTCATTTGTCAACCAAATCCACAAATTGAGACATGTATGATTAAATGTGTATTTAGTTTAATTCTTTAGTGCGACTTCTTCTCTCTCCAGGAGTGTCCCAGAATCCTGTGAAATTGCTTACCATTTCTTCTCAGCAGGTAGTTTTTGTACAGTCCTTCAACTTTTGTGCTTCTTATTTTCCATGTCTGAGCTTTCTCAGTCTTGACAGAGTAAGTGCTAACTCATGGGGTGCTTGGTTTATGCAAGTAAAAAGTTTTGTTATACTTCTCATCTCAGCTAGGTGAGAAGTGGCATTGCCCACTGACCTTTACTCTCCCCAGGACCTGCCACTCTCCCCAGGAGTGTGAGGAGTCTGAGAAGATCATGAACAGTTTAATTGCTTAGAGTATTGTTTTTGCTTTTTGGTGTAAAACCCACTGTTGTGCTGCTTTGAAACACTTTTGTCTTAGTGTCTGCTGTACTGTTTTTGGTCACAGGGGTGAAAAGGCTGTCCGTGTCTGAGTTAAATGAGCTCCTGGAAGAAATTGAGAGTGCCATTAAGGAGTACTCTGAGGAACTGGTGCAGCAGTTGGCCCTGCGAGATGAACTGGAGTTTGAAAAGGAAGTAAAAAACAGCTTTATTTCTGTCCTTATTGAAGTGCAAAACAAACAGAAAGAGCACAAAGAAACGGCTAAAAAGAAAAAGAAACTAAAAAATGGCAGCTCTCAGAATGGGAAGAATGAGAGAAGTCACATGCCAGGCACAGTAAGTGATATTTTGCAGGAGGCACTGGCGCTGGAAACAGGCACCCAGCACATCTGGCCAAGGGCAGGTTCGAGAGGTCAGGCGTGTGCGGGAGCGCTGTGCCTCCGATCAGAACGCAGCAGCAATTCTTCCCGAATATGCTCTGCTCCGTTTCTTCAGTACAGTGTTGCTTGGTGGCTATCAGGATAATTCAACACTGAAATGTTTAGGAGAGAAGAAAGGGGCAGGAAGGGGACAGGGAGAATGTCTTAAAGGAAGCCTTAGCAAGTGACCATTTTTAATACATCAGAATGTGAATAGTGGCTGTATTTGGCTGGTGGGCTGATGAATGGTTTTATTTTTTTAATCTGTGGATTGTGTAATAAATTAAAAAGGAGCCTATTTAGAGATGGCGCAACTGCCTTGAGCCTCAGTCACCTGATTTGTAAAAACAGGTCCCTCTTGATTTCAAGGTCAGGACACGAGGATATTAGTGGCAGTGTGTGACAATGAGCTGTTTGACCTACAGACCAGAATATTACTGATGGATGAAAACAAATTAGGATATTTGAAACTTTGACCCTTTATATAAGAATGTTTTGTGTTCTATTTTATCTTTTTTCTCAAGTGGTCCTGTTAATTTACCTGATTAAATTTTATCATGAACATTACCTGTGGATTATGTGAGATGCATTTTCTATTGATTTTATAACTCATTTTTCTGTCATTAGTTGAGGCCTTGTATATTTCTACCTCGATTTTATGTATGAAAAAATGTTGGCTTTATTTTTAGAGTACAGTGGTTGGGTAAAGGGATCCATTTTTCTAAAGGGGATATATTTTCTTTTTTGTTGGGGGGTACCAGGGATCGAACTCAGGACCTTGTGCTTTCGAGGCACATGGTGGACCACTGAGCTAAATCCCTAGGTCCAAGAGGATATTTTCTTAATTTATGATGTTGGTAGCATGGTAATACATAATCACAAACTGGCTATTATGGCTTAAAATAATATAAACTCTCTTTAACTAAGTCTTGAATTATCTTCTCTAGAGAATACTTAGCAGAGTAGTAGGTCTCCCTGACCAGGCACTGATGGAACTGTAGGAAGAGAATACAGTTCTCAGTTGCTGGGCCTCTCATAAGTGTTTAACACAAACCAAAAGAATCTAAGGTAATATTAAAAATCATTATACATGTAAACATTTAATAAAGTGGAAATGTTACTTGAAAGATTTAAAAAAAAAAAAAAGAATCTTGCTGTGTAGTCCATTCATAGTGCTGCTACTAACCATGAAGGGATTCATGTTTTACTTGTGTAATGTTCATTTATATGTAGTTAGAGAGGACAGAGCTTATCAATTGACTTTGAAAAAGCACTCATATATTTTATTTTTAAGAAATGTCAGTATGATTGAAAAGGTGCGTATTTAATCCTTTTTACAGACCACTCTAGAAAAAAAAGTTTGTTTGAATATATGGTTCTGGGAAATTTCCTTTAAAATATCAAGGACTGTATTTTGCTTTGCACCTCATATTTTAAAAAATTGCACCTTTTAAATTGCCCTGTTAATGCTAGTGGGATTAAATAAAATGCTTAGTGAAAAAGTCATAGTATGGTTGGCAATTTCTGCCTATCTGCTTTTAGGTATTACATGTAAAATCCTTTATTTATTGGTGTTAACACTTGACTGAGAAAAATAAATTTATCCCTCCAGGGATGCAAAGGCTTCTTTTTGTAATTCTCATGTAAACAGGGTTAGAATAGACCCATTGTGTCACTTAACAAGGCATTTCTATTGTGAAATGGATTTGGCAAGGTAGCAGTTAGGACATATTTGAATCTTTACTAGTCTTCAAATAGATACATTGAAGAGTAATTCTTTTCACGGTATTTGAACTTTTAAAGTAGCTTCTTGAGTTCTGAGCTACTATTTTGTGTCAAAACTTTAATTAGACAGTAATGGCATGGCTCAGCTTCTGGTACTTTTACCTGTATCTTTTCTTAGCTGAAAATGCCAGGGAATGACCATCCCATCTGTGACACAAACAGCCTGAAACCTGTGATTTTGAAGATAGTGGTAGGTGGCTCAGAAGAACCCTGAAGTGAAACAGCTAGTTCAGTAAACAGATTTCATGAAGTATTACCTTCCCAACCCATTTATATAACGTACGGCTTTGACAAGGCCTGATTTCTGTGAATTAATTATCATCAGTGATACAGTTTTTTAAAAAATGGTGACCTTCTAATAGATGTTATGTGTTTTTTTCCAATAACGTCAGTCACTTTTTTCTCCCTACCAGAGGCATTTGTTTTTTCCACCATTAAGTTTATTGGTACATTTTAGGTATAAAATACATTCACATACATCACTGGGATCTTGTACCATTACATGAGTATCTTGGTTCTTATTTTTTTCCCCCCTTCCCCTGCCCTCCCCTCCCCACTTGCGAAGATCCCGTTTCCATTTTTTCCCTTTCTCATATTTTCCTCCCCCTCTTTCCCCTCCCCCCTCCCACCTCCCCTGCCCCCCTAGACCTTTACTTCCTATTACACAATATCAATTACACATTTTTAAAATTAAAATATCAAGACCTAGGAGACATTACCACAGATTTTACAGAATTTAAAAGGATATAGAAAGCATATT